TCAATAGCTTCTTCCGGCTCCTTTTTCGTCCGGCTTTTCCCTAGGCTGTTTGCTAGTCTCTCTCTCCGATATTTTCCCAATTCTTCCCGTTTCTTCCCGTTTCTTCCCTCCTAAGTTTCCTATCCGTCCTAAGTTTCCTATCCAAGTCAGGTTTCCTATCCGAGTCACGGCACCATTATGTCGCTCCCCCTCTTCGCGGAGGAACGACACAAAACCCTGCCTAGGCTTCATATCCGAGTCACGGCACCATTATGTCGCTCCCCGTCTTCGTGGGGGAACGACACTAAACCCTGCCTAGGCTTCCTATCCGAGTCACGGCACCATTATGTCGCTCCCCCTCTTCATGGAGGAACGACACTAAGCCCTGCCTAGGCTTCATATCCGAGTCACGGCACCATTATGTCGCTCCCCCTCTTCGTGGAGGAACGACACAGGACCCTGCGCTGTTCTTTCGTCTGCTCGGCCCTCCCCGGGTTTGCTGCTGGTTCTTCCCGGGTTGGCTACTATCCCTTCCACCTCCGTGGAAGGGCAGTTCCCCCTGGCCACATTCCCCACTTCCGCAGGGGAGCGGCACACCGCCGGCCGGCTCTTCTCGGGGGCTGCACAGGTTCCCTTAGATGTTCCCCATAGATGTTCCCGGTGCATGCCGTCTCTCTCCTCCTTTATAGTCCTCCTCCGCCAATCCCAACTCGGCTGCCCACACGCCGAGTACGCTGCTCTCCTCCAATCAGGAGCAAGTCCTACAGTTTATTAGTTGAACTGGAGGCAGCTGTGCGGAAGCTGTTTACTTCTCTCCCAACGCCATGTTGTGGGAGAGCAGATGCATAGAATAAGTCTTAATTTCAGTAACTTAGTCCAGTCCGGATTGCTCCCCACAATTTCACATCATCACAGGAAGAAAAAGGATGAGTTCAGTATAAGAAGATATTTTAAGAGTCAAGACAGAGACAGACCATATTCACATAACTTTTATTACAGTGTATTATTATAATTGTTCTCTTAACAGTAATAGTTATTATTCATCTCTTACTATGCCTAATTTATAAATTACACTTTATAATAGGTATAAGTATATGGAAAAAACATATATATATATATATGGGGTTGGGCATTATCTGTGGTTTCAGGCAGGCACCGAGGGTCTTGGAACATACCTTCTACAGAAAAGGGGAACTAGTGTGCTGAACATTCTGACCACCTGCGTACTCACTCTGCTCTGCTGTCTAAGTCCCCCTCTCCTCTTTTCCCTTTGGCTTTGTGTCTCAGCGACCGATACACTTCACTTGCCCCCTGGCATTCCTGATTCATTTTCACTGATTCGGGATGTCACAGGCCTTCCTCTGGGCCAGGTGTGGGAAATAAGGCCTGTCACGCTCTAGGCTTTAGAATATGCTGTGCCCTCGCTTGAAAGGCCCTGCGCCCCTGGTCTGCGGGTCAGTTCTCACTCAGCCTCTAAAAATCAGCCGAGGGGATCACCTCCTCCTAAGGGTTGGCCCTTGCATGCACTCCTCCGGCCAGCGCCAAGCGGAAGTGAGATGGTTCCCCCTCCACGCAGCCCCGTATCTTGGTCTTGTCTCTACTGTAGCACTTACTATATTGTATTGATGTGATGCAACAATAAACAGGCACAGTCCAATAAAACTTTGGATTGCATTTAAAACAGGGGGCTGCAGAGACAGATGACTTGGGGAAAAGTGAAGTCCTCTGAAGATGTGTCTGCTCAGTACGCCTCAATGCACATACGATTCAATGTGACCTTAGCATTCCTTCTTTAGCCGTGATCCTGATATTTGTCTTGTGGCCTCCAACTACACCCTTTAATGGAAGACACTCCCTGCACTGATCCTGTGGGACTGACAGGCCCACTCCTTGCACTGTCTTGCCTTCAAAGCAGGGTTTCCAACACTGTACACAGTGTAAATCTTGTACGGTTAGCGATCATGTATTATTTAGGTGTATAGCCCCAACTCTGGGGCACTCTGCCAGCTCCAGGAAGCACGGAGCACATGCTAAGTGAATGTGTTTTAAATACATGAATACCTAGTTGTTCTACAGGGGCTAAAATCCAGCCCCATCTAGCCTTCAAGGAGTATCCTACAGACCACGTGCAAACATTCTAAATGACTAGCATAAGTTCAAATCACCTTCAATTACTAATTATCAATGGATTCCCTGACTATATTCTACACAGTTGGCCAGACATTGCCTGCAGGATTTCAGTTGCCTGGCTAGACCTCTGGAATATATTTCCATAACCAGTTTTATTCATCCAGCTCATGAGGTAATGAAAACCCCTAGGTATACAGTGTTGGACCAACACAATGCTGACAGTACCATTTCTCTCCCCGAATACTTTTAAATAGTGGGTGCACTATTTAAAAACTAAAAGCTTGGGGCTTTAATTTGTTGCAGCAGTTAAGATATGACCCCATATCAGAGGGCCTGAGTTTGGGTCCTGGCTCTGCTTTTTTTGCTGTTGTTATATAAATTAATCCACTTACTATAGGTTAAAGGTGACTCAAATGATGGAGCCTCTACTAGCCTTTCTTTCTTTTTTTTTTCTTTTTTTTTTTTCTTTTTTTTTTTTTTTTACAGGCAGAGTGGACAGTGAGAGAGAGAGACAGAGAGAAAGGTCTTCCTTTGCCGTTGGTTCACCCTCCAATGGCCGCCGCAGCCGGTGCACCACACTGATCCGATGGCAGGAGTCAGGTACTTATCCTGGTCTCCCATGGGGTGCAGGGCCCAAGGACTTGGGCCATCCTCCACTGTCTTCCCAGGCCACAGCAGAGAGCTGGCCTGGAAGAGGGGCTACCAGGACAGAATCTGGCGCCCTGACCGGGACTAGAACCCCGTGTGCCGGCACCGCAAGGCGGAGGATTAGCCTAGTGAGCCGCGGCGCCGGCCTCTACTAGCCTTTCAATTCCTTCAGTCTTCTTCTTCTTCTTTTTGTTTTTAAAGATGTATTTATTTGAAAGTCAGAGTTATAGAGTGAGAGATGGATAGAGAGCATGAGATCTTCCATCGCTGGTTCACTCCCCAAATGGCTGCAATAGCTGGAGCTGCGCCGATCCAAAGCCAGGAGCCAGGAACTTCCTCCAGATCTCCCACGTGGCTACAGAGGCCCAAGGACTTGGGCCATCCTTGGCTGCTTTTCCAGGTGCATTAGCAGGGAGCTGGATCAGAAGTGGATCAGCCGGGATATGAATTAGCTCCCATATGGTTTGCCGGTGCTGCAAACGGCGGCTTTACCTGCTATGCCATAGCACTGACTCCTCCGTCAGTCTTCGTGATTGCAGACGTTACTGTGATGGCAGAAGTGGTGTTGTGTGTCCAGGCACCACCAGCTACTGTTTTCAAGCAGGAACCACAGTGCCAGATTCCCCAGAACTCGTCTCTTCATTTTGGTTTTGCCACAGAAGGAGCAAGAGTACTTGGTGTACTGGCTGACATCAGTTTTCTTCACCATTTTCCAGTGGGTGGCACCATTGGGGGGGCTGGGATTTACTGACACTCCCAACCTGCTCTGTGTGTTTAGCCATAGTGTTGCCACACAGTTACAAGCCCAGAGCACTGGCTCTGCTTCTGATTCCAGCATTCCTGCTAACGGGTAGTCTGAGGACGGTGAGTGATGGCTTAGGTTCCGAGTTCTTGCCACCCATTGTGGGAGACCCAGATTGAGTTCTGGGCTCCTGGCTTCAGGCTTGGTCTAGTCCTGGTCCTAGCAGTTGTGGATGTTTGGGAAATGAACCAGTGGATAAAAGATCTCTCTGTCCTTGTCTCTCCCTGCCTTTCAAAAAATGAAAACAAACATATTTTAAAAGTTTTCAAGAAAGCATGTGTCAAAAATAACAAAAATACAAAAACTAGACATAACTATTTCAGAACAAATGTATCAGGGGCACACATTAGAATTCCCAGATCCACAACAAAGTTTAGCTTGATATATATCAGGAGTATAAAGTATCACTGAAATCTAGACTGCATGGCTTCAGCTGAGTCACTCAAAGGCTCTCAGGAGAGTTCAGGTTGGCACAAGGTGAGCATCATGAATCAGACCTGACCCTGCCATCGCTCTTATCCTTAGCTGGGTGCGCAGGACCTGCTGAAGCTGGAACCACAGAAGGTCTTCTGGTCTATTGCTGCTGTAAATGCTAACACTGTATTCTTATGTGCTGAAAAAAAGAGGACTTTTTGATATTCTAGGGACAGTCATGTTTTTCAGATAGATAATGAGGCAGCAATACAATGGTGACCAACAGTGAACAACCATCTATCACAGGCCTGTCTGGTGCCAGGGTGGTCAGTTTGGTCAATCACTTTGCCCCACATTGGCACGTTTAAGGGGCAGCAGTGACCTCTGTGAATCCCAACCCAGCACACTGTTCACTAGATTATGCCAGTCTTCTCGCAACTTTTCAACTTAGTTTCACAAACAGAAGGCACTTAAGTTCCCTGATTTTACTCATCTTTTATATGGGGCCAGTTAAGGAACCTGACTTGTTTTGTTTCTTTCACATCTGACTGAACTCAAAATGAATCTGCTGCGAGTTCTCAAAGAAACAAACGCCACAGAATCATGTCTGACCTGCTGGGCCTATGCTTTGTTCAGGTGCTCGAAGCTGAATGCCTGGTGCGCGCCGCCAGGCCATCTTCCAAAAGATGCAATGTGCAGCCCCGCCTCGCATCATTTTCCTCCAGAATCTTATCTTCTCTAAATCATTTACGACCTAGAGTGGTTTGGACTCATTCTGTTGACAATACCTCTTCCAAAAATAAAAAGGATGAGCAAGTTCATTGAGTTACAATTCAAAGTCCAAAACAATTCAGTGACTTTCCACATACTTCCTAAAAACATTTTGAAAAGATCTGTTAAGAGAAAAAGATACTACTTCTTTTTCTAAGTTAAAAAAAGAAAATTCAATGATAGAAAGCATGAAGAGTTTAAATCAAGAGTTCTTTCATAAGTAAATCGACATAGAATTATAAAAACAAAGACTTACCTGCTAAGCTTCTGAGAGTCTTTAGGTAACTCCTGGCCATCATCTTTTGCTGTGAAGAAAAAAATATGAAGGGATTTTAGTTTACTTGGAGGGTGAATATATGGCTTTATGTGCTCTCTTTCCAAAGCCTCAATAAAATGGCAATAAAAGAATAAAAATAAAGTATAAAACCTCAAGGAGGGCGAAAGAAAGATGACAGGGGCAACTTTCAAGATGGAAAGCAGATGTCGAGGGGGAACTGTCTCAGCAGGCCACAGAAAGTCGAAGCCCAGGTGCGAGAAGAGCGGACCAGCGAGGAACGGGCAGACCTGGCCTTCCGAACAGAAGGCATCGCGCACCGCAGAGACGAGGGCTGAGGTCCACACCAAAGGCTGCACCTGCGTCCTGTACGGCCTGCCAAGATGAAAGGGAAGAGAAACTGAGCCAGAGACACTCAGGAATGGAGGATGCCAGGCACAAGAGTTTGGACAGCCGGTGTTGTGGCCAGCGTTGCGGTTCAGTGGGTTAAGCCTCTACTTGTTATGCCTGAATCCGATCCTGAACAAAGTAGTTTGAGTGCTGGTTCTCCGCTCCCATCCGGCTGTCTGCTAATGTGCCTGGGAAGCAGCAGGTGATGGCTCAAGCACTTGAGGCCCTGCTACCTGCATGGGAGACCTGCATGGAGTTCCTGACTCCTGGTTTCAGCCTGGCCCAGCCCTGGCTGTTGCAGGCATTTGGGAGTAAACCAGCACATGGAAGATCTCATTGCCACTTGCCTTTCAAAAAAAAATTTTTTTTAAGAACAAAAGTATGGGTAAAGTCCTGAAGACAGGGAATAGGTCAAATAAATCATATTGAACAGATTCCTGACACTCTCTTCCTTTGTCCAGGTCTCAGAATATAAGCCTCTTTCCTTCTCTCTCTCTCTCTCTCTCTCTCTCTCTCTCTCTGACTGGAATATTCCTCTCAGGACAAATTGTCAAGCCTAATAAAATGGCCAGATTGTTTTCACTGGATAACCTTAAATTGGAAGAAGGCCAGCAACACGCCCAGTCTGTATTCAGAACTTCCAGTATTTGTAATGGAACACTGTCATAAGTCCATCACATGAAAGGACTATCATTAGATATTTTGGGCAGCTTAACGTGAAAGACAACAACCCAAAACAAACTAATAAGGAGAAAAATAGAAAACAGAGATCTATTTTTCTGGAAACCTCAAACAATAAAAACAAAAACCAGACAGAGGAATAACTGATTTTAAAAATTAGAGGATCAGGGGCCAGCGCTGTGGCATAGTGGATAAAGCCGCCGCCTGCAGTGCTGGCATCCCATATGGGCACTGATTTGAGTCCCGGCTGCTCCACTTCCTATCTAGCTCTCTGCTGTGGCCTAGGAAAGCAGTAGAGGATGACCCAAGTCCTTGGGCCCCGGCATCCACATGGGAAGACCCGGAGGAAGCTTTCTGGCTTTGGATTGGCACAGCTCTGGCCGTTGTGGCAACTGGGGAGTGAACCAGCAGATGGAAGATCTCTCTCTCTCTCTTTCTGCCTCTCCTTCTTTCTCTGTGTAACTCTGACTTCCAAATAAATAAATAAATCTTTAAAAAAAATTAGTGGATCAGATTAATAGATTCAATGTCCAATTCATAAAAGGGGCTGGCATTTGTGGTACAGTGGGTTAAACTTCTGCCTGTGAGGCCAGCATCCTCAGGTTCTGGCTGCTCCACTTCCAATCCAATTCTCTGCCAATGCGCCTTGGAGGGCAGTGGAAGATAGCTCAGGTGATGAGGTACCTGCCACTCATGTGGAAGACCTGGATAAAGTTCCAGGATTCTGAATTTGCCTAGGCTGTTTCAGCCGTTTGGGGAATGAACCAGTAGATGGAAGATCTCTCTGTGTGTCTGTCTCTCCCCTTCTCCCTGTAAAAAAAAGAAAAAAAGAAAGAAAGAAAAGAGAAAGACAGATTTAAAAAAAGCAAGAAGGAAAGAAAACCAAATCAAAGGAGATCTGTAAGAGACAACAGGGAAAATAAAGGTGAAAAGCTCACAAGAGAATTCTCCAGAGCTGAGAGACTGGAGTTTAAGATTTCAATAGCTTAATGCCCTACATGATGAATTAGGCGGGGAAACACACCAATAAACATCATCAAGAAATTCCAGATCTCTTGGAATAAAGAGAAGATTTTTAAAAGCTTCCAGAAAGAAAGAATAAATCACACGTGAAGAATTGGACATCTGAATGAAATCAGAGTTCTCAAAAGCAACACTAGAAAGCAGAAGGTAATCAGGTCTTTATATTGGTGAAAGAAAATTATTTCCAAACTAAAATTTAGCCAAACTGTGAGCATACGAGAGTAGAATAATCACCTTTTTAGGCACGCGGGGTCAGGAAAGAGTGAGCTCCCATGTACCAGGAAGCTCCTGGAACATGCACTCAGCAAAGTGAAGGAGCAAATCAACTACGAGGGGAATGAAGGCGCAATCAGGAACTCCAACCAGGAGGCAGACAGTGGCCATTCCAGCACGCCTACCAGCTGACTGTCAACTCTGGCCTACAGAAAGACGAGGCGGCCCTGGGAAGACATCACCATGGTTGCGTGGGGGAGAGAAGGATGGACTGACACTGATCAAACATCTGACAGTTGTTCCACAGTTTTGTCACAAAGTTTAGGGGAAGGATAGATGGTAGACAGATAAAGAATAAAGGAATAGAAAACGCAGGTCTTTTGTATCAGAAAAGCAAGATCATCATTCTTGGCTTACCTGTGATATATTTACAAAGTCACATTAATATAACTAAACTATATTAGGAGAATGGGGGCAGGAGATGTGTGTGAGAGTGGCTGCATAAGACAAAGATATTTTTATTTTATAAGAAGTCTATAAATAATATCTAAAACTAAAAACTTCAGGAATACCAGCTTGGAAATAGAGTAGAAACACCTCAATGAGTTGAAAGCTGTTGTTGGTTCTTGGGGGTGGCACTTGGGGATAAAAGATGGGGGCTTCCAAGGTCTGCTGTATTTAATTACAAATCAATTTCTGGGGACAGCACTGTGGTGAAGTGGGTAAAGCTGCTGCCTGCTGCACCGGCATGCCATATGGGTACTGGTTTGAGTCCTGGCCGCTCCACTTCTGATCCAGCTCTCTGCTATGGCCTGGGAAAGCAGTGAAAATGGCCCAAGTCCTTGGGGCCCTGCATATGTGTGGGAGACCTGGAGGAAGCTCCTGGCTCCTGGCTTCAGATTGGCCCAGCTTCGGCCTTTGCAGCCATTTGGGGAGTGAATCAGTGGACGGAAGACCTCTCTCTCTGTCGCTTTCTGCCTCTCTGTTACTCTGCCTTTCAAATAAATAAATATATCTTTTTTAAAAAAGTCAATTCCTATTATTTACATCTCTAAAGTTATAAACATATTTTTCTTTGATGTAAAATAAACACTTAACACGTAGAGTTAAATGTTATTTTAATGTTATTTTAACTGGCTCAATGAGATAAAACAGGGGAAAAAAGAGATGTGACTCCAACAAATAGGTATGTACACTTCTGTCCTGTTAAACTCAAGTCTTCTACATCTCATGACGTTTGTGAGTGACAGAGTATCTATAACACCACCAGGATCACTGATTTAGAATGAGGGGGCTGAAGCTCAAGTTGTTCCTTAAGGAAGCAATGCCACTGGATGACTTTTCTTTTTTCTTTTCATATCCAGAAAGTTTATTTTCCAGGGCCAAGGGTACTCCTACATCTAACCAAAAAAAAAAAAAAAAAAAACACACTCAATTTAAAGAGTAAACACACCAAAGTCTAAAATCCTATGAGATATAATTTGTAGAGATAATTTTCTTTAAAATTGCTCTATTGTTAACAGGTATTTGTAAAAAAAAAAAAAACAAACCCAGTGAACTAATGAGAGCTCGAATTGGAGAGGAATCAAATGGGTATCGCAGCTTTTTCCTAAGCATAAGCAGAATAGGATATAGTTGCACAATTATCAGATTTTTTGAAAGTATATAATATAAATGAGTATTAAAATCTCTCTAATACAATGGTACTTTAAGAAGCTTATGGTTTTTCTAAAATAAATTTTGCACTTAAATAAACTTAACTTTCATTGACATTTTCCATGAATTTCTGAAAAACCTTTTTACTAATACTCCTGTTTCTAGTAGTGAGATTCATCTGTCAGTTATTATATTACAATTTATTTAGATAAGTATCTGAAACCTATTAGGATTTCCTCCTTTATTTATCAAAAGCCATAGGAATATATTTGACTAGAAAAAAATGATTACCTCATGCTTAGTTATCATTACTCAATTTTATTATTTTTTATTTTCTTGTAGCTTCCTTCAATTAAAATATTTTTGAGTTATATGAACCTTATGTTTTAAAATATCAAAGTAACTGTGGTAAGCAGGAGATAGACACTATTTGACCACATGACCAAACAGAAATGAAGTCACAAGGACAAATTAAAAAAAAAAAGCTATATAGTACCTGTGAAATCTCTGCAGCAAATTCGAAAGCACAATACTCAGAACATAGAAGACGAGCAGTTGTTAGGAATTGTCTCCTTCCAGAGCTTTCCTCCTCCAAGTTTCCATAAACGAACTTGGAAGGTACTTGAAAGGCCGCCTTGTATAACTCCTGACACCAGGCAAGACACTTTTTGACAACAGCCCTGAAAAATGGTCATTTGACTCCACTGAAGAAACACTAGTTATAAAAGAACACTTTCCGGGGCTGGCCCTGTGGCATAGCAGGCTAAGCCACTGCCTGTGACACCAGCATCCCATATGGGTGCCGACTAGTCCTGGCTAGTCCACTTCCAAATCAGCTCCCAGCTAATGACCTGGGAAAGCAATTAAAGACAGCCAAGTGCTTGGGTCCCTGCCGCCCACCTGAGTGATCTAGAAGAAGCTGCTGGTTCCTGGCCTCAGCCTGGCCCAGTCCCAGTGATGCGGTCATTTGAGGGCTGAACCAGCAAATGGAAGACCTCTCTCTATCTCTCCCTGTCTCTGTAATTCTACCTTTCAAGTAAATAAAATTTTTTAAATAATACTTTTAGTGATAAGGAGTTGACTACCTGCAAAGCCAGGCTTGTCTACTCTATTAAGCAACTTGAATTGTCAGAAAAATCCTTCCCTCTGTTTGGCCAGCTGGGACCTGGATGGACTTTCCCTTTGAGGATGCTACCACTAGAGTGGCATTTGCTGCCAGGAGAGATCAGATATACATTCCTCTAACTGCTTCATTTATTATCCAAACTGATCCACTGCAAAGTAAAAGAGGGTGCTAGAAATAATTATACCAGGACTGTCCCAGGCAGCTGGGGTATGTGCGTGCTCTAAAAATTAGGGAGATAGGGACCAGGCCACAGTGAAAGGAGGGTGACAGGATATGGGAGGTCACTGGGCCTCTGCCAACTGGGTTTGAGTTCAGAGTTTTGTGTCTTCTTATCAATACATTAAGGCAAGACTAGCTGTTCAGGTTAGAAAAAACATAACAGATGTTAGGGAAAAGTTTGGGGAATGAGAGGCATTTGCATGTCTGCATATCAAATGCCAAGCTTAGCTTTAGGTTAACGAAATTAATTCCAGACAGCTAATTACGGAGGGAAATCACCACAATATGTTTTGACACAAGGCAGGGCCATGCCTGCATACTCTGGACTCCCGTAGCTACAACTTAGCAGGCCTGGAGAAGGAATGGCTGACTTGTAGCTTCTATGTGAGCCCTGGAACTACAAAGATGAACTACAACCATACCTCTTTTCTCCTGGACATCTCACCAATTATTTGAAGACACCATTTATGGTTGCTCTTTATCTTCTCTGGCATTGGCTAAGTACACACACTTTCCTAACTTTCCTAGCTAGAGGAAAGGTGATGCTGGACCTGTGTGCACAGGTAGTCCAGATGGCTGCTCACCAAACCAGGAGTGTAAAATAGTAGAACACATGCTTGGGAGAAGGGCACTTGCTATCACTGTCTTGTGTTAAGCAAACAACTCCCTTGAGAGCTTGGTGACAGGACAGAGTTCGCTTTATCAAGTCAGGTTGCTTCCATTCTGTACCTGCAGCTTTTAATTCTTTGACCCCAGATGAGTGACTTTACAGTCAATTCACTAAGCCTGCAGGCATAGGGGGACTGAGAAAGCCCAGTGCTGCAGTTTGCCAGGCGGCCTGTGGCTAATCACCTTACCCTTGACTTCCTCTCTGAGCAGGGGGCTGTGAAGATCAGTTGATTATATGCTCAAAGCACCAAGTAAACCATGAAGTACAATCAAGAACTAAGCTTAGGTTTGTTTTTCATTCACTCATTCTACACCTTTTTATTCAATACCTCTGGTCAGACACCACACTGGACACAGAGGATACAGTTCTAGCCTCTAACAAATGCCCCAGGATGGTATAATTAGCTGCCTTGTGCTTCCCATTATGTGATGAACTAGCTGTTTCAGTTTTGTGTTCCCTAAAATTATAACAATTCCCTCATATGTCTTTATTAAAAGACGGGAAAGGATTCTTGTAGTATTTTAGTAGAGATTTTTTTCCCAAGCGGATACAAGTGATTAATTCCTGTTGGATTCATTTTTCCACACAAACCCAGGCAGAAGTACAATATTACCACCTGACCGAGAGGGGACAAGTTTTCTGCCACTTCCTCGTTTCTGATACACAGGAACTGTGTCTTCAGCGTTGCCGCAAGTCTTTCCCCAGGAAGCCACAGAAACCATTCTCTGGCATGATACCCTCAGTCCAGCAAGGTCAGGCAAACAAGCTGACCCCTGCTTACTGCCTTAGAGTTCCTTAGGTTTCACCAACGTAACTAAGAGCACGTAGTGAAAGCTGCCCGAGTACTGTTCGCTGTGTGGCTCTTTCCTGTGTGCTGTGGCAATCTGGGCAGCTTTTATGTTAGGTGTGACGACACAGGGGGAGAACGGAAAGGAGTGTTGGGTGATGCCTGCCAAAGAAAGGACGACAAAGAAAGGACATCGTTTTCTTATCACTTTCCTTCTGCAGGGAAAAACTGAAAACGTATTGCACAGAATTATTTCTTGCAGGAAATTATTTTTTTTGGGGGGGGGAAGGAGTAGTTTGTTTCTTTTTTTTTTTTTTTCCCAAAGAAACCTTTTATTTTCCCAAAGAAACCCTCCCACCCACACTCCCACCCCTCCACACACTCCCTCTCCCATTCCCAGTCCCATTCTCCACTAAGATCCATTTTCAATCAATCTCATATATAGAAGACCGACTCTATGCAAAGAGTTCTACAATTTGCATGATGAAAAAAAAATCGAAAAATGTTCCTCAACAGTTGAGACAAGTGCTGTTCCAAGTCATGGCATCTGGAAGTTAATTTCTCTTCTTTCCTTCTCCTCCTCCTCTTCCTCCTCTTCTTTCTCCTCCTTCTCCCCTCCCCCTCCTTCTCCTTCACCTTCTTTTTTTTTTTTTTTTTTAGAAACTTAATTAACTTTAAAAAAGCACCCAAGAAAGATAGAAAATTCCTTAAAATAAGTTTTTGGGGCCAGCATTGTGGCTCAGTGGGTTAAGTGCCCCCTGCAACACTAGTATCCCATGTCAGAGTGTCGATTCGAGTCCCAGCTACTCAGCTTCTAACCCAGCTCCTGAAGAATGTGGCTGGAAAGGCAGCAGATGATGGCCCAAGTACTTGAGTTAAACTCGGATGTGACATCTTTCTGATGGGTAGACTCGTTTCAACTGGCACCAACCATCCACACCATCAGAGCATTGAAAGATAATAAGCTTAAGGTCTTTGTTGATCTTTTGAAAGAGATTGGTTTGACAAAGAGTTATAGTAGAAGGGATCTTTGTACCATTTTTAACTGAAAATGGATACAGAAAATATTTAAATATTCCATTATATAATGATTATTTTCTAGATTACTTATTTGCTATACAAATTTAATGCATAATCGATGGTTACCACATAACAGTAAGTAGGCATTTCTTACATTCGCATGACTTGTGGAAAAGTCTTTGAAGTAGTGTTCTGTATACAGATTCATTTTCAATCAGCATTTGGGCTGCTTCCAAATTCACTGGCTGTTCTAGCCCTGGATTAGACAGCATAACCTATAGGAAAACATAGACAACATAACATTTTAGAGCAGAAAGACAAGCCGATAATACAACTTTCAATAAGTACTTATTAAATACCTACTATGCACAGACCTGTGAATAGACATAAAGGTAACGTGAGACACAGTCTTTACACTTAAGAAGCTTCCGATCTGTCTTGGTTTTATACTGCACACTCACAAGCTAAACACTGGTGTCAGAGCAAGTTAACAGTCCTTCCTGTCACATTCCTTCCTGTCATACACATTCGAACTGGGTTTTTATGGAAAAGGAACTAAACATTAGGAAACACTGAAACATTTCCATTACACGGGCTTAAGAAATAAAGCTTTACGTTTTAACATGATACCACATTAGAACATGGATGAACAAGCACAGGTACTGAGGTTGCACACACTTGATTAATTTATTATCTGTAGTTGTCTTCTCCTGCTGCTAAATGTAATTACAGTGAATGTAGCTGCTCATTTCTAGGCACAACTCAGGACAATTTGAAGGTCAGCTGCTGAGTAAATATAATTTCATCTGCAAGTCCTTTCACAGTAATACATGGCAGACATCTTTAAAATCTTGTGTGTCTGCATCTCACGAATGACCAGAAGTAACTACAACTTCACAAGACCATGACTTATATCTCCCCAAATTGAAAATATTTATTGCAATTTAGTAATATAGACATTGTATCTTACAACATGCAAATTATATGATAAGATATGCTAAACCGTGCAATATACAAGTGTAGATGCTGGTCAAAGTGGACAGTTGTGGCTTGGAAGTTACAGGAATGATGGCAATCTCTCAATCATGAAAGTAACCATCTGACATTTGATATCTCAAAATCAACAAGAATTTGCTGCTGTAACTTGAGTTTTCCTATTTTGGAAACACATTGGGGCTATATGTCCAAGAATGGAATACTTGCTTCAAGAAGGGTTCAGTGTGGATTTCACTATACCTTTCAGAGTGGGTGGGGGTAGAGGAGACTTACCTTCTATACAGGCTTTTGGTCTTTGGCTGTACAGATATAATTTTACTAAGGGAAGCTTATCTGGTAAAGTTTACTCAATAATCTTCTCATTAACCACTGTGCCTATGATCTATTTATGTAATATATATACAAGCTGTTAAGTATATTTTATGATTTTTAAAGAATTGGAATATAAAGTCATATTAAAAATTAATAAATCAGACATCTGCTAAATAATAAAAATAGAAAGCTCAACTTTTAAAATAACCATGTGGTAGAATGAAATAACATAAAAAGCTTTCCAAGGGATAAATACAAAATATGGAGCTCCAGTAAACAGTGGCACCAGCAGATAACATTTTGTAAGATAAAATTAGTTAATGCCCATGGATCTGGAATCTATTCTAGGGGTGGGTGTTGATATTCACCTTTACCTTTGAAGAGATCCAGAAGATGAACCCCAGATATCTACCTGCCTCGCTCGCTTCTTTGACATTTTTACTCAGATTTCTCTTAGGACACAGCCCCATGCAGGTGGATGCTCTAAACACTTTCAGAAGGAGTTAATGAATGAACTGAATACTGAATTTTTTTTTTTTTTTTTTTGACAGGCAGAGTGGACAGTGAGAGAGAGAGACAGAGAAAGGTCTTCCTTTGCCGTTGGTTCACCCTCCAATGGCCGCCACGGCTGGCGCGCTGCGGCCAGTGCACCACGCTGATCCGATGGCAGGAGCCAGGAGCCAGGTGCTTTTCCTGGTCTCCCATGGGGTACAGGGCCCAAGCACTTGGGCCATCCTCCACTGCACTCCCTGGCCACAGCAGAGGGCTGGCCTGGAAGAGGGGCAACCGGGACAGAATCCGGCGCCCCGACCGGGACTAGAACCCAATGTGCCGGCGCCACAAGGCGGAGGATTAGCCCAGTGAGCCGCGGCGCCGGCCGAATACTGAATTTTTAAAAAGGATTTACATTTTACTCAGTATACTAAGCTGACCTTCCAGAAAATAAACTATTATTTTATTTATTTTTAAAACTACAAAACGAGAAATGGAATTTATGTAGTAATTCTATGTTGAGAAAATTTCAATTAAGCCAGAATATTTCATTCTCCAAGTGTTCTTGATAATAAAAATTTAATATTATATTTCCATTTGTTACTAATGATAAGTTGGTTGGCTGAAATACTTTGTTTTAGCATTGGATAAGAAAGGAGGGTTTTACAGGGTCAGGAATAACAAAACACTGAGCATGTTACTAAGTACCACGGGCCCAGAGGGGATGGAGGTAGTAGTTGGGAAACAGGCATCTATCTGAGGAGAGAAAATCTCTGGTTTAATTGTTCACTCGGTTTGATGTGAACATGTAAGAGAAAGTAGCCAACACTGTCAGAAACAAAGGATAAAGCAAAACATTCTCAGCTGTAATCATTTGATTCACTTCTTTGAGGACGGCAAGGTTCAGGAATGAGCAAAGACCTAAAAGGCCTGCTCAATATCAGGAAGTGAAGTCAGGAGCAAAAAGAAAATCTAAGGCTGTATTTCTAGAATTGAAACATCCTAATAAGACTGTTCTTCTTCATGAAATATGTATTCAGTTGTAAAGGGCCTTAGCTACTCACTTCATTTTAAAATAATAGTTTTTATAATTTAAATTCCAGTTTAGAAACTTAACATAGAAATGTTGATTTAGATAAACTTGCTCAAGTCCTTTAAAAGACTTTGTATTTTCATCTTTATGTTTTGTATGATTGCGATATTAATAGTATTAAAGGGAGCATTGCATTAACTCCATTCTTACCTGTAGAGTGAGTAAGATGCTGCTCAACGTGTAGCTTGTATTCCACTTCTCAGGGTTGTCCAAAAAATCTATACATGGTTGACCAGTATAGGGGTCTACTGTATTAAAACAATACATTAATATTGATACATACAGTAAAAATATTTGAAATTGATGAACATCAAAATGATAAACCAGGAAGATTATTTACATCCACTCTTCCTTTTTACTATTTCTTCCCTCTGCAATGAAACACCATGTCTGTCCCCAGTCTTCACCCTCTCTTGTTGTTCTGGCTGATGACATGGGTGCCCATGCTGTTTTTCCTAAGCTTTCTTCTAGCAAGATGTGCTCATGTGACTAAGTCTTTTTTTTTTAACAGGCAGAGTTAGACAGTGAGACAGTGAGACAGAGAGACAGAAAGGTCTTCCTTCCGTTGGTTCACCCCCCAAATGGCCGCTACGGCCAGAGCTGTGCCGATCCAAAGCCAGGAGCCAGGTGCTTCCTCCTGGTCTCCCATGTGGATGCAGGGGCCCAAGCACTTGGGCCATCCTCCATTACACTTCTGGGCCACAGCAGAGAGCTAGACTGGAAGAGGAGCAACTGGGACAGAATCCGGCGCCCCAACCGGGACTAGAACCCAGGATGCCAGCACCGCAGGTGGAGGATTAGCCAAGTGAGCCGAGCTGTGGCGCCAGCCAATGTGACTAAGTCTTAATCATGGGATGTAAGCATGAGTGTGCAATTCTGGACCATGTTTTTCTTAAAGAGCTGTTTAATCCTATTTTTCCTCTCTTTCCCCTTTCCCACGGTCTGGAAATGGTGACAGAGTAAAAGCCTTGGACCTAGAAATGGAATCCTCATACCGAGGAGGGGCGGCCCCTCCTGTCCCCAGCTTGCCCATTAGGCGGGTGAAGATACACAAAGACTGGCCTATGCCCCAACATAGAGATTTCATTAATTCAGGGTTTGAAACAAAATAATAGATGTTTTCTCTTTTTTAAAAGAATTGAGCTAAACGTAAAAACTAAAACCACACAACTACAAGAAAATTAAAAAGCCAATTTGGTTTTTCAATGGAAAAGATAATCTAAGCTTAAAGCCAATAAAGCCTTTTCAAAAGTTTAAATCTGACATAAAAATGTTTAAATCTCAGATATAAAAACACAGTGTAAGTGAAATATAAAGTTAATGACAAATTAGCGGAAATATTTGCAACATCTAGGACAATGTGATAACATGAATTATCAGGCAAGTTATAAAGTAAAAAAACAACAAATGTGAAAAAATGCTTACTTTACAAGCATTCAAAGAAGTGCTTCTTCCTTTTTTTTTTTTTTTTAAGATGTATAGATTTATTTGAAGCTCAGAGTTATAGAGAGAGATAAGAGAGGCAGAGAATCTTCTATCTGCTGGTTCACTTTCCAGATGGCTGCAACAACCCGGGCTGGGCCAGGACGAAGTCAGGAGCCAGGAGCCAGGAGCCAGGAGCTAGAAGATTGTTCCAGGTCTCCCAGGACCCAAGAACTCAGGCAAGAAGTACTTCTTAAAATAATAGAAAAATGCTTATCGAATTGGCAAAAAACTTCTCCAAACTTTCAATGTCCAGAACTGGAAGTTGCTAAAATGAGAACTATATACACACTCCCTAGTGGGAGAGTGAAGCCGCTGAAAGGGTATAGCTAAGATTTAGAGGTGTGCAGAGCCACTGCGTGGGGTCTGCAGGCCTGGAAGTTCCCCTCCTTTCCTCTCCAGTGCGTGTGTAATGATGAAATAGACCACCGTGCTGAAAGACAGGGTGTAAGACATAGCTTTTCTGTACGCAAGACTGAAATGGAGAAAGCAGTTGATCAGTGGCTTTAATCAGGGTCCACCAAAGCGCCCTGATTTCTTTCCTCCTGAAGTTCATGGCCTGAGAAACAGAGCCTGCACCCAACTAAGGAAAGGATGGTGGGAAAGAGAGCGCTGAGAATGTGCTGTGCCAAACCTGCTCACTTCCTTCCCCGCGTCCCCAGTCACCTGGGTGACTTCCTTTCCTGGGAAGAGCCGGGAGGAAAACAAGAGCAGTCCCAAGCTTTCCCAGATTTTCCCTCCTAGCAGGAGTGAGGATTGGCGGATAAGACTGTTCCCCCAATAAACTCAATCCAGTAATTCTATTCCTAAGTATTTTCAACAAAAATGGCACATGAAAATCATTCACTTTGTGTTAAAAGTTTCAAAAATAAGGTCTTGATTACAAAAAGTAATAACATACTTGTGAAAAACCAAGTCCATAAAAGTGAAAGCACAGAGGCTGGCGCTGTGGCCTAGTGGGTAACGCTGCTGCCTGAGACACTGGCACCCCATCCCACGTCTGATCCAGCTCCCTGCTAATGTGCCTAGGAAAGCAGTGGAGCTTGGCCCAAGTCCTTGGGCCCCTGCATTCATGTGGGAGACACAGGACCCAGAAGATGGTCCTGGCTCCTAGCTTCAGATCTTCCCGGTTTCGGCCATTAAGGCCATCTGGGGAGTGAACCAGAGGATGGAATATCTCTCTCTCTATCTCTGCCTCTCTCTTTATAAGTCTGTCTTTCAAATAAAATAAAACAAATCTTAAAAAAGTAAAAGCACATAAGAGAAAGGAAAATGCACATTGAGCTGCGTACTAATTCTCTTCAGAGTTATCACCAGCTGGTCCATACAAACATACATGCGCACAAATCCAGGTGCACTCATACATGCATGAATAGTAAATAGAATTATATTTCACCTTTTCTTGTTTGAAGTGGTTTTTTTTTATTAACAATGAATTGTCAACATATCCCCAAGCCATAAATATTTATCTAAAAATATCTACAATGTGCCAGGCATTGAAGATTCTTGGAATATAGCAATGATCAAAAAGCTTAGTTTTCATAATATCCCTTGTTATGTGTGGGGACAATCACTGTATGATATTTTCCTTAAAAATTCCCATATGATGGGCTAGCGCTGTAGCACAGCACGTTAAAGCCCTGGCCCATATGGGCGCCAATTCTAGTCCCAGCTGCTCCTCTTCTGATTCAGCTCTCTGCTAAGGCCTGGGAAAGCAGTAGAAGATGGCCCAAGTCCCTGAGCCCCTGCACCCTGGTGGGAGACCCAGAAGAAGCTCCTGGCTCCCATCTTGGGATCGGTGCAGCTCTGGCCATTGCAGCCATCTGGGGAGTGAACCAGCAGATGGAAGACCTCTCTCTCTGTCTCTACCTCTCTCTCTAACTCTTTCAAATAAATAAAAAATAAATCTTAAAAAAATTCCTATATTAATTGACACTGAGATTTGAGTTGGCCCTCCATATTTGTAGGTTCATCATCCAAGGATTCAGTCAACATCAAAATGAAAACATTTGGAGGAAAACTGTGTCTGTATGGACATGTAGGAGCTAGACTCTTCATTATTCCCTAATCAACAGAGCATAACACTTACTAATATAACCATAACAGCTATACATACAACCTTCTCATTGTATTAAGTATTTTTTTAAAAAAGATTTATTTTATTTATTTGAAAGACAGAGTTACAGAGAGAGGTAGAGACAAAGAGAGAGGTCTTCCATCTGCTGGTTCACTCCCCAGATGGCCACAACGGCCAGAGCTGTACCGATCCGAAGACAGGAGCCAGGAACTTCCTCCAGGTCTCCCACCAGGGTGCAGGGGTCCAAGGACTTGGGCCATCTTCTACTGCTTTCCCAGACCATAGCAGAGAGCTGGATCATAAGCGGAGCAGCCGGGTCTTGAACCAGCGCCCATACAGGATGCCAGCACTTCAGGCCAAGGCGTTAACCCACTGTGCCACAGTGCCGGCCCCCACTTTTATTTTCTTATTAAGCATCTTTTTGAGTTAATTTTTGTTATGTTTCTTCTATTAAGTGTGCCTTTTTCTTATTGGTTTACAAGTGTTCTTTATATGGTATGGTTACAGTAAGCACTGCAAATATTTTCTCTCAATTTGCAAAAGTCAATGTCTTTTCTCTGTTTATAATGACATTGACTACTGATGTATTTTAATGTTTATATAATTTAAGGTGTCAGGCTTTTCTAATAGTTTCTGGGTTTTATCATGCTTACAAAGGCCTTCCTCACCAAATACATAAGAAATTCTGTTAGATTTTCTTCTTGTGAGGAATTTAAAATTTTCAGGTTTGCGACTTACGTTGTGGCCCAACTTGTTAAGCTGCTGCCTGTGATGTTTGAGTCTCAGCTGCTCCACTTCTGATCCATCTTCTTGCTAATGCACTGGGAAAGCAGTGGAAGACGGTCCAAGTGCTTGGGCCCCTGCACCCATTAGGAGACCGGGAAGAAGCTCCTGGCTTCGCTCGGCCCAGCTCTGGGCCATTGTGGCCATTTGGGGGAGTGAATCAACAGATGGAAGCTCTCTCTCTCTCTCTTTCTCCCTCTCTGTCTGTAACTCTGCCTTTCAAATAAATAAATATTTAAAAACATTTTTTATTTGTGATACTTCAAGAATTCACTTAAGTATATAATGTGAAGCTGCAATCTAACTCACTTTTTCCTAAATTGATCTTTCCATTTTTATCACTTTTTATAATGATATAATGATATAATACAGGAAAAGGACATGTCATTTTAAATAAGGGGGCTAGATATAAAACTTTATATGAAATACCTCAACCACACACAAAAATATCTACAGCACAGAAAAAAAGATTCAAAGTAATTTATTCCTGACTTTTTGTGTTTTTCCCAATGAAAATTCTTACTTTTATGATCATAATGAAGTTGTTAAAAAGAAAAATATTAAAAAAAAAGAGGGGCTGGTGCTGTGGCGTAGCGGGTAAAGCCACTGCCTACAGTGCCGGCAACCCATATGGGTGCTGGTTCTAGTCCCGGCTACTCCATTTCCACCCCAGCTCTCTGCTATGGCCTGGGAAAGCAGTAGAAGATGGCTCAAGTCCTTGGGCCCCTGCACCTGCATGGCAGACCCGGAAGAAGCTCCTGGCTTCAAACTGGTGCAGTTTGGGCCAAAGCAGCCATCTGGGGAGTGAACCAGCGGACAGAAGACCTCTCTCTCTCTATCTCTCTTTTCTCTCCCTCTCTTTCCCCCTCCCCCGCTCCCCACCTCAGCCTCTCTGTAACTCTACCTTTCAAATTAAACAAATAAATCTTAAAAAAAAAAATAAAACAACAACTAAAGAGAAGAAGGATAATAGGGACAGGGCCCTTGATATGAAACATCTCATTTGGTCCTTACCATTTGGATGAAAAGGAATTGTTCTAAATTTCACCACTGGAGGGACAAAGTTGTACTCTGGCGTAAAATCTATTGTCAGCTCAAAGATGAGTCCTGTAAAATAGAAACAGGCATTTTTCCTAAAGCATCCTGTTGTACTGATTAACTCCAACCTGATTAACACTGAGGTTTCTCCATATAATTTAGCTCCCCGTAGCTTTATTTTTTATTTTTTCTATTTTATTACTTTTAACAGACACATAAAAATTATCCAGATTTATGGGGTACCTTGTGATATTCCCATATACTACTCTTAACTTCTATGAGATCAACATTTTCAGATTCTTTTCATGAATGAGATCATGTGGTATTTGTCTTTTGGGGCCTGGCTTATTTCCCTTAACATAATGACTTCCAATTCCATCCATGTTGTTGCAACTGACAAGATTTCACCCTTTTGAATGGCTGAATAGGATTCCATTGTGTATGTGTATCACATTTGTTTTACTCATCAGCAGTGGATGGATACTTTGGTTGCTCCAATTCCTTGGCTATCATGAATAGCGCTGCAATAAACATGGGAGTGCAGACCTCTCTTCAACAGTGTGTTCATTGTCCTTGGATATATACACACACATGCATAAATATAAGCAGTCATGGGATTGCTGGATCAGGTGGCGGTTCTAATTTCAGTTTTGGGAGGACCCTCTACACTGTCTTCTACAATGACTGTTATAATTTACATCGTCACCAACAGAGTGCAAGGGTTTCCTGCTCTCTACATTGTTGTCAGCAGGTGTCATTTTTTTGTGTGTTTTTTCTTTTTTAGTTTCACTGGAGTGAGGTGACACTTCATTTGTAGTTTTGATTTGCATTTTGCTGATGATTGGTGATGCTGGGCATTTTTTCATGGGGCTGTTGGACATCCCACAGTTTTATTTTAAAATAAATTCTACAGTGCAGAGGTTCCTCTGTATAATATAAAAGCTGTCTCGCAATCCGATCGCTCCTTGTTTTTAACCTCGCTCCCACCAATCCTTTCCATCTGCTGTCTCTGTACCTCCCTGCCCCTATCGTATGCATCGTATTGACTGAACTCAGATCCTGGTGTACCCAATCTTGTTAAAGCTTCTGCTGTGCTGTTTTTCCCCCACCTAAATTTCCTTCTCCTCTTTCTGAAATTCTCAAACTAGTACAAATTATTAGGGACTCAGCTCAAATATCACCTCCTCGGGAAGCCATTCCTGACTCCCCCAGGTAAATTAACGCATCACTCCCTTCTTGGCATCTGCTCGAAATCCTTAACAGCTCATATTATATTTTATTGTAGTTATCAGCTTATGCATTTGCCTCCCGTACCTTACTCAAAGAATTCACAATTGAAAGAGCACATGAGCATTCAAGTTTACAGTGGCCCAATCTTCCTGAGAATTTGATTTACAGAAATTAGAGTGAAACACCTGGAGGAAAAAATGGGCAGTAACTGTGGGATTTTAAGCCAGTAGGAATTTGATAGCTCTTCTCTGATCTCTTGGAAAATGTAAGAAGATATTCTCAACTAATATGTTTTATTGAGTCTGCTTCTTAAAAATGTAGTAACATTAGATTTGGCAAAGGGGCCGGCACTGTGGCTCACTTGGTTAATCCTTCGCCTGTGGTGCCGGCATCCCATATGGGCGCCGGATTCTGTCCCAGTTGCTCCTCTTCAAGTCCAGCTCTCTGCTGTGGCCTGGGAAGGCACCCGCCTGGGAGACCAGGAGAGGCACCTGGCTCCTGGCTTCGGATTGGCACAGTGCCGGCCATAGCAGCCATTTGGGGAGTGAACCAACGGAAGGATGACCTTTCCCTCTGTCTCTTTCTCTCACTGTCTAACTCCATCTGTAAAAAAAAAAAATTTGGCATAAAGAAAAACACAAGCTCAAAATGCCCATCTATGTTGACAAATGTTGAAAACTATCAGATAAGGAAAACATAATATGAATAGTTCTAGAATTCTTGACAACTGACATAATGCAAATTTTTTATAGATTTTTTTTTTGACAAGCAGAGTTAGACACAGAGAGAGAGAGACAGAGAGAAAGGTCTTCCTTTGCCGTTGGTTCACCCCCCACAAATGGCCGCTACGGCTGGCGCTGTGCCGATCCAAAGAGCCAGGTGCTTCCTCCTGGTCTCCTATGTAGGTGCAGGGCCCAAGCACTTGGGCCATCCTCCACTGCCCTCCCGGGCCACAGCAGAGAGCTGGACTGGAAGAGGAGCAACCGGGACAGAATCCGGCGCCCCGACCGGGACTAGAACCTGGGGTGCCAGCACTGCAGGCTGAGGAGTAGTAGCCTAGTGAGCCGCGGCGCTGGCCAATAATGCAAATTTATTATGCATATAAAGAGGAATTCCAGAAATTGTATTTAATGCAACCTTATTATACAGTTAAAGAAGATAAGCTGTTAATGGTATCTGAACTTGTTAAAGAACCACATTGCCACAGACCTTGCCACATTGAATCCTGAAGACCTTCAATTTCAGCCTCCCATTCCATCATGTCTTCACTCGTTGGAAAGGCAGTAATACCCTTTCATTAAAACAAAATCAATGCAGATTTTAAAAGATTAGATAGTTAACAGAGTCGTGAAAATCAGATACCACGTTACACTGAATTCCAAAATCCCTACATTTCTTCTTCTTTTCTTTTGATAAATTCATTAATTTGTTGACCTGGGAAGGTGTTATATGTCTTATTACACAGAAGTCAAGGTAGATTCCAGGAAATACACAAAGAGTAAATTAAAAATAGAATGTGTGGAAATCATAAGTGGGACTAGAAGGTCAATTTGGAGCATGTGGCTTATACAGCTTTTGTGTAAGTCAATAGCCTATTTAATATTCAAATTAAAAAGGATGGAAACAGTTGGAAAGCATTTACTTCTTCAAAGTGTCCTTAAAATATATATTTATGTTTTATTTATTTATTTGAAAGGCAAAGACAAACAGGGAGGGAGAGAGACAGGGATAGAGAAAGAGGGAGAGCGGGCTGGCCCTAGCTCAGTGGTTCCTGAACAGTCTCCTGAATCAAAGAGAGAGAGAGCTTCCATCCGCATCCACTCCCCAAGTGCTCACAAGGAAGCCAGGAGCCTGCAGCTCAATCCAGGACTCCCAGAGGAGTGGCAGGACCCAAGGACTTGAGCCATCACCTGCTGCCTCCCAGGGTGGGCATTAGCAGGAAGCTGGAACCGGAAGTGGAGGTGGAATCCAGGCATTCCAATATGGGATGCATGAGGCACAGGTGGTGTCTTTTCTTTTTTTTTAAGATTTATTTTATTTATTTGAAAGACGGAGTTACATAGAGAGGTAGAGACAAAAGAGAGGGAGAGGTCTTCCATCTGCTTGTTCACTCCCCAAATGGCTGCAAAGGCCAGAGCTGAGCTGATCCGAAGTCAGGAGCCAGGAGCTTCTTCTGGGTCTTTCATGCAGGTGCAGGGGCCCAAGGATTTGGGACATCTTCTACTGCTTTCCCAGGCCACAGCAGAGAGCTGGATTGGAAGTGGAGCAGCCTGGACTCGAACCGGCACCAGGGCTTTAACCCGCTGTGCCACAGCGCTGGCCCCCCAAGTGGTGTCTTACCCACTACACCAAATGCCTGCCCCTTCAAAGCTTTTTAAAGCGCAATATGGATATCATATGGAAGACATGAAGTGAGAACGTTTTCATTAAAAATCCAAAATTACAGTTGCCAAAAATAAACTTTTCCTTATACTTGAAATATTATTCCAATGGAGGGACAATAATGTATTTCATAGAAAACCTTACCAATTATGCTTAGTGCACACTTAATACACTCAGTAAATATACTTGAGCAACCATGAAATTCAAGACTTAAAATCACATAACTTACTTGGCACAACGTACTCAATATAGTTAACCACTATTATGTTGAAGCAGTAATACTAATATTTTAATATGAAATAGGTTACCATAGTGAAATAGTCATTAAATAGCAATACTGCTGTGGCAAGACAGGTTTAACTAAATGAAGACTCAACACAGATTACACTGCTTCTTAAAAAATCATTACCCAAGGAAGCACATCCCTCCACGTCCCCAGTACTCACCGTATAATTGTTCTCTCTGAACTCTTGGAAGTGTTTTTCCAGCAAGAGGAAAACTCTGCGGTTCATGACGAGCTGGAGGAGAGTCTGTCACTTGTCCCCAGGTTCCTCAGGTTCACTCTGAGGCAGGTGCCCAAGGTTATCTCGGCCTCCCTCCTGTAACTACGGAACTGACAGAAGCTACTTGCTTTCTAGAATGCCAGGACGCCCCCAGGGTGTCTTCCAAGTTTAGGATAAGCAGCCACTTGCTTCCTCTTCTAACTGCTCTCAAGGAGGGCTCGCAGGAGGAAAACTTGGGCAATTTGTCCCCTGAGGTGTGTCACTGCGGTGGCTGCCGTCCCATAACCCATCATGCCACGATAAACTCCACGGACACCTGGGACAACTGTTGTCCGCGCTTTAAGTGAGAGCGCGAAGTCTAAGCGTAGGAAGTGGCCTTCTTCGCTGCACAGGTGTCTGTTTCGGGGAGGACGCAAACCGGTTGCCAAGCAACTGCCTGGGTGGGACAGCGGATAGGAGGTGGGAACATGGCGCCTCTCAACCAATCAGCGAGGTGGTAGGGGTGGGACAGGCTTCTGGATACCTCCGCAGCCAATCGCCCAACAGTTTCACTTTGAAGGGCCAATGAGATCCGGGGCAAGGCCACACCACCCCCTCGACATCCACCCACGCCTGACTCCACAAGCGTAGCGTAGAGGACAGAGCAAGGTAGTCACAGAGGCCTTCAAGCGAAGTTCCCCTGTGAAATTATCACTGCTTTTTCTCTGAATACCAAGAACTGTCAGTAAGTGACTGACCAGCAGGCTCGGGGCTACGGTTATTCATAGCAGCGTCTTCACTTACACAGCGATTTCCGGCGCATAATACGTTCGCACACCTTGTTATTTTAGTGACTCCTACAGTACTCCGAGAGTGCTCCGAGAGCAGGGGACTGCTTGACACTTGTCAGGTTCCGATCTCGCCCCGCCGTCTTGCGCTTGCTCTCTTCTCTCTACCGAGGCATTTAGCGCATCCATTTCGTCTGCACTCATCCTGCAGGTTTAACGACTCCAAGACCAATAGGTTTCTTTTTTGTGATCCTGTATTTGTCTTTATGGTGCCATTTATCGCACTGTGTCACGATTGCCCGTTGCCGTCTCTCCGGCCTGTGAACTGCTGGTTGTTGAATCCAAAGCGCCCACTGCAGAGCCTGGCATTGCTGTTCAGAATGCCTTCTTTTATTTATTTATTTGACAGAGTTAGACAGTGAGAGAGAGAAGAGAGAGAGAGAGACAGAGAGAAACGTCTTCCTTCCGTTGGTTCACCCCCAAATGGCCGCTATGGCCGGAGCTATGCTGATCCGAAGTCAGGAGCCAGGTGCTTCCTCCTGGTCTCCCATGCAGGTGCAGGGCCCAAGGACCTGGGCCATCCTCCACTGCTTTCCCGGGCCACAGCAGAGAGCTGGACTGGAAGAGGAGCAGCTGGAACTAGAACCCAGCACCGCAGGCGGAGGATTAACCTAGTGAGCCACAGCGGATGCCTTCTTTTTTTACATACTAGTTTTAAGGATGTGGTTTCAAAAAGTTTATTCATTTCACAATTATTGATTAAGCACCCATTTTACTAGGAGGGGAAAAATTCAAATGAAGTTACTGTCACTGTGGCCCCAGTACACAAGCAGACCAGTGCAGTGGACTCTAGCCTGGTGTGCATCTGAAAATCCAACCATCTGCACATAGAAAATATTTGGGGGAAAAACTGCACATGTACTGCACATGTACAGACATTTATTCCCTCGTCATTACTCCTGGAACAATGTAGAATAAGAACTATTTATGTCGGATTTGTGTTGTAGTAGGTATTGTAAATAACCTAGAGATGACTGACCTTGTGCAAGAGGATTTGCACGTGTTCTATGCAAATATTGTGTCATTTTATATAAAGGGCTCAGCATCTGTGGATTTTGGTATACTTGGGGGTCTTGGAACTAATTCCTCCAGGACACCAATGGGCAACTGTATACTAAAACAAAGTAGGTATTCAAAAAATAATAAATTCAGATCATATTAACTGTGCTATGGAGACAATACAAACAGGAGCGTGATAGGGAGTGGGGTGGGTGGCTCCCACTTGGAAATGATGCTCAGGGAAAACCCTCAGGAAGGAGGGGACCTCTGAACCTGTAAGAAGGAGACACCTATATGCATTGTTGAGGGGAGAGAGCTTTGCGAAGAGAAAAACATGACAGTTCTGAGACAGGGAAGAGCTTGTCTTGAAAGGGGAACCAGGGAGCACCATGGGAGAGAGGGCATAACCCTGGGGTACTGCAAGATAGGACGTTGGGCCTTTATTTGGAGTAGCAACGGGAATTTATTGGAGTGTCATGCTCTGATTTACATTTGCAAAATTACTCTGGCTGCTCTGTGGAGAATGGGCTAGAGAGAACCCAGTTCACCCTGTCCATTTCATATCCAATTCTTGTAGCTTAGAAACTGCCAATATACTCAGTAAAACTTTGGCACAATAAAATGATTTGATGTTTTGTAGGCTGTTGCTAAATAAAATTTTCCTATTAAAACATAAACTAGGATCTCAGATTGATTTTTTTTTCTCTTCTTTAACCCCATTACTTTTTAAAAAAATATTTGAAAGGCAAAGTTTTATATATATGTACAGAGAGAGAGGCAGGCAGACAGACAGAAAGGTCTTGCATCCACTGGCTCACTCCACAAATGGCTGCAACAGCAGGGGCTGGGCCAGGCCGAAGCCAGGAGCCAGGAGTTTCATCCAGATCTACCATGTGGGTACCCGGGCCCAAGCACTTGGGCCATCCTCTGTTGCTTTCCCAGGCACATTAGCAAGGAGCTGGATTGAAAGTAGAGCAACTGGGATGGGAACTGGTACCCATATGGGATGCCAGTGTCGCACGTGGCGGCTTTACCTGCTGTGCCACAATGCTGGCCTCCAATCCTGTTACATTTTAAAAATACATTTATTTTCCCATCAGATTTTAAATTGGACTCTTGTAGGAAGTTAGAAGTGGAGAAAGGGAGTGCTTCAGTGAGAAGGAAGTGGATCCAATTTGAGGATTTTAGCTTTCTCAGTGATATGGGGGCTCAATGGTTTCTTCTAATCAGTATTGTAATATGAATGCAGAAGCTTTGTGTTAAAAAAAGTGTATATATATATTTATTATGTAAATGATACTTTAAAACATGCATACATTGTGCAGTGACTAGATTGAGCCAATGAACGTACGCATTACCTCACATACTTTTTTTTCATGGAGAGACTGCTTGAAATCTTTCTTCTCAATTTTCAAGAATATAATACATTGTTATTAACTACAGTGAACTGTTGTAGAATAAGAATTCTTTGTCCTTTAAGATTTTGTTCTAGAGGAAAATTCCATTAAAATAAAAGAAAGATAAAGTAAATAAATGCATGAACATTAAGATGTAAAGTATTCTTTGGTGTGAACTTTTAGTGAGTGGGATTTAGTAAGTAGATTCTCAACTGATGCCTCCATTGGACTGCAGGCTAGGAAACCCCATTGTCTGATTTTCACCCAGCTGTCCTGTCCCAAAGACATTTTAAACTCAAAGTTCTAAAAAAAAAAATCCATTATTCTTTATCCTAACTCACCTTGCATCCCAGGTGGTTCCCGGACTTTCCAAGCTGGAAACCTGAGGCCATCTCTGACTCGTCTTCATCGTGACTGACATCCAGTCACTCACCAAACACGCTGCTTTTATCGCTTCTTCTACACAAGACTTCCCACCGACGTCTCATTTCACAGCCTTGTCATCTCTTGCCTAGATAGAGAACATCTTTGTACAATACGCTCTGCCTCCAGACTTGCCTGTTGTGAAACTTGATAGTAGTGTCTTTAAACCAGCATGTGACCGAGTAATTCTCTGCTAAAAATATTTGAAGGGAACTCTTCACCTCTCTAGTGTATCCCATCTCCATGTTCAAAATTTTAAATGTGGTTTGACTTCTAGGGGTGTGGGTAGGGTAGCTGCAATAAGAAACTTTGTATGTATCTATACTTAAAAGGCTACTTGAAAAAGTTTACAGGAATGTGGAATTGAAAGTTTTATTTTGATGCAAATAAATGAAATCCAAGAACAATTTTTTTTCATAATATGCATTTTCCATGAACTTGTTGAAGACTCCTTAAATGCACTGTTGTGTTTGGAAGTGTTATTAAATGAGTTCACAGTTACACTCACTGGCTGCCCAAGTCCTGTTTTTATAATTAACTCCCAGATAAATGAGAAATATGCCTTGGTTCTAGAGACTTCTGAACTATGGAATGGGAATGTGTGGAATTTGTGAAGTGTGATAGTCAGATGTGTGTGTGTGGGGGTGTGTGTGTGCAGCTTCTAGTATGCTGTGGTTTGAATAGGCTATGGTTACTGAACTCATAGTGGATTTGAAACCTCAAAAATCCTAAGTTGGTAGTACTGAGAGTGCGGAACTTACTCTAATTATAATACATAGGAGGTAGACCTACTGGGAGGTCCTAAGTCACTGGGGGTGTGCCTGGGAAGGTAGTTCTTGTGAGAGGGTTGTTAGAAAAGCCCTATTGAGGGCTGGCGTTGTGGCACAGCATGTTAAGCTCTGGCTCGAAACACCAGCATCCCACTTCAGAGAGTGATCTTGAGTCCTGGCTGCTCCACTTTCAAACTGGCTTCCTGCTAATGTGCTTGGGAAAGCAGCAGAACGTGGCCCAAACTTGGGTCCCTGCCATCCACGTGGGAGATCTGTTTGGAGTTCCTGGTCCAGACCTAGCTTTTGTGTGTATTTGGGGAGTGAACCAGCAGATGGAAGAACTGTCTTTCTCTGCCTCTCCCTCTGTCACTCTGCCTTTCAAATAAGTAAATTAATCTTAAAAAAAAAAAAAATCCTGAGTGGGGCCCAGCTGTTCAGTGTGCTTTCTGGCTCACCATGTGATCTTCCCTCCACCGTCACTCCTCATTCTACCATTGCCACCCTCATCAGACACTGAACCAGTGAGGTCTGGCTAATCTCGGACTGTAAACCTCAAGAGCCAGGAGCCAGAATAAGCCTTGTCTATAGAGCTAGCTTGCCTCAGGCATTTCATTGTAGTCACAAAAAGCCGACTAATGCATAGCACCTGTGTAGTAACTGTCTTGGTTTGCTTCTCCAGGTTAATAGCAGCAGCCAGAGACTAACAGTGTCAATGGTTCAGGCTCCTGGAAGTGAGAGCTGCTCGGAAAACCCTTTCCTCTGCATGGAAGCACATTCTGTTTCTTCCAGCAAATGTTAGTTTGAATAAGAGTTTTCCAGACATGAGATCATGGATGTCATGATCGCGCCGCTGCTCATTGCTGCATGTCCTTCTCTGTGTTGTTCCTCACTTTATGTTTGTTTGTTTTTTTGTAAAAACCAACTCAGCGGGAAAAATAAATCCCCATGTGTGGTCCTTCTACTATCTTCTTGGTAATTCAGTGGTAAATAGCATGCAGTCTCAGGACAGACCTGGGCTTAGCGCAGCATAC